TAAATATAGTAGGCCAATGACTTTTAGTTGATATTAAAGCACCGATCATTCCTTTCATCGAAAGGGGGCCCAGCTAGTTCTATATAAATGTGAGACGTGCCGACAAAACGAGTCACTTCTCGCAATCCACAAAGGGAGATATTGGCCAAAAATCAACACTGAAGTCAATTTAAAAAATTTTTTATTGATTCCATGTTCTTTAAGTATAACATGCCACTTTTTATTTCACGCTTATAAATTGTATAAATTGCTTCACCTAAAAGCGTGATGTATCTATTTCCATATAATATATATGGCTGGAATCCGAGAAGTAACTCATTTTGTCTGCATGCTTCACAAATGATATTGCTCACCCGGATCAGTTTTGGTCAGAAATAGGACAACAGCACGATAATATGTAAAGCAGGTTTGATATATTATTTATTGAATCTAGAGAATTATTCTGGTACGCACTTTGGCAGACCTAAAGAGAATCCCGTTTCTGTAAAGGACGACTGGGTTCCATAAAGGATGGATGAGAATTGCCAGACTATTGGTGATTAATCTTTTGGCACGGACCTCATGTTATGGAAATACTCGAATTTCCGGTAGAGGGGGCGTTAGATTAAAAATGACTGCTGTAGACGTGTGAAAATGCGATACATGTACTTTGTACGTTGTTCCAGTTGGTTATGTTTAGAATATATTGACCAAAGATAGTTACCTGTTTCTTCCTTATCTCTGTCTTCTCTCTCTCTCTCTCTCTCTCTCTCTCTCTCTCTCTCTCTCTCTCTCTCTCTCTCTCTCTCTCTCTCTGAGTGTTCGTTGCATCGATAAAGACCATTTTATATCTTTACATCTTCGAATTATTTTATTATATTTCTTTCTTTCTTTCACAAACAATGCTCCGGTTTTTTTTATAAGCACATTTGTTTTTGCTCAGAGGGAGAAGAAGTGGTTCTTGTTTGAGAAATATGGAAGACGTAATAAAACAGAATGTGTTTTTAAACGATAAGATCGTGTAGACTAAACATCAATATGAGGAGAAAAACACGCAGATTGATATTATTGTTGTATTAATTTAAGTTCCCACGTCATCTTTTCCGTATTTTGTAAAGCAGTTTTGGGCAGTGTTTTAAAGAACGTTAATGGGTTGTCTGTCTATATCTATCTATCTATCTATCTATCTATCTATCTATCTATCTATCTATCTATCTATCTAGCTATCTATCTATCTATCTATCTATCTATCTGTCTATCTATCTATCTGTCTATCTGTCTATCTCAATCTCTATCTCTATCTCTCTATCTCTCTATTTATCTATCTATCTATCAATCTATCAATCTATCAATCTATCAATCTATCAATCTATCAATCTATCAATCTACCTGTCTCTGTCTCTATCTCTTTCTATCTCTCTCTATCTATATCTATCTATCTATCTATCTATCTATCTATCTATCTATCTATCTATCTATCTATCTATCTATCTATCTATCTATCTATCTAGGTGTGACACAGGTCGATCTTTGTTTTCTTCCCCTGTAAATCTATGATGTATGTGAATTTCCCAGCTCTAATTAGGTGTTGGGGTGCCCCCAGTGTGGATTTTTCTTTGCTCGATCAAAACGAAGAACGCAGATCGTGACTAAGCCCAAACCAGGAATCAAAACTCGACACCATCGGTTACACTGTACTCCTATAAATCGACATCATAATTATTTAGTTGCGAAGGTCGTGCAATTATTGGGGACAGGCAAACCCAGCCCTTGCTGTATGTGACTTTTTTTTTAAATTGTTATTATTTTTTTAAATTATCATCATCATCATCATCATCATCATCATCATCATCATCATCATCATCGTCATCGTCATCGTCATCATCATCATCATCATCATCATCATCATCATCATCATTATTATTGTTATAGTTTAGATATATCTGTGTGTAATTCACGGTAGTTCTAAAATGTAGAACTAGAACTACATTTTTTAAGAGAATGTGGAACGCAGATTGAGGTATTCGGGAGAGGGGGAAGAGGGGGGTGGTGGTGGGATTATTGGTTTTAGAAGTGATATAGGACATGGTGACAACAAGGAGAAAATGAAAACGTGGTTCAGTAAAAAGCAGTGCGATGAAGGGATTGGGAGGAGGAGGGGGGGAGGGTGGAGAGAGGGGGTTAACTGGACCACTCATGCTCTGTGTCCATACTCTGCGTACGTTGTTCCTTATCTTGCTTTGAACGTTGCATCGTCGACGGTGTTTTAATTGTTTCTGAGACGAGATTTCTTCGACAATTATATATAATGATTTGAGGTCAAGGTTAACAACGACACCTAAGCTCATTACCAGATGTTTTCAGAATAAACAGACTTGTGAGGGGGAAAGTGTGTACGTGTGTG